CGCGCGGTACATTTTTCAACAACTGAATTTCACACTCAAGGGCATTCCCTGCCTCGCTGGTCTCAGGGCTATCAGGATCAAACTGGACTTGTAGAGCAGCCCGTGCTCCTCCTGTACCAACATCATAACAGAGATAGACCCAGTTTGCCCAGTCTCCAGCTAACTGGAGCCCAAGGTGATCGGCTGGGCGGGCTGATGTCCATTACAGTTAGAGTACCATGGTCTGTGTCTCATTCCCAGCTTATTCGGCTCTCATCACCACCTGGGGTGAAGATGCTGCTTCTGCCACTAGTGCTAAAGGAGCGATCAGTAGGACTGACTGAAAGCTGGTCCCCTGGGTCCTTTTCCCCTGGAAAAGTTTCACAACCATCATTATACCCTTGGTGATGATATGAAACATGGTACCTTCTTGGATATGCATGTTCCCCTTTTTCCAAGTTTCTCAGACAGGGTTATCACAGTCTGACAACTCCTGATGATTATCTGTGCAGCTCTGTGCCCTAGGCGTTCGAGATTCTGGATGGCTCTCCCCATCCAAAGGAATGTCGAGTGATGGATAACTTCCTGAGCCAGAATTTTCAGGGCTGCTTAAAGATAATGGATCCAGCATTTGATCCATGCTATCTGGAATGAACTCTCCTTCACTGTTGATGCTGGTGAGTGACCCATTCCGGGCAACCTGGTGTAATTCATCTGGAATGTATCCCGGGGGAGGGATCTTCTATCTCTATTAGTGGGACCTATTACAGAAAGCCATTTTTCCCTCTCTCCTCCAAATACTGTGTTATTGAATCTTCTAGAGATGGTGATGGCTCTACACGGTGACCTGTGTATTTCCAGTAATAACCTTATGTTCTTTAGGTGAATACTACAATCCAAGCGTTCCATAGCTCTGTCCAAGTCATCTTGGTAGTCGATGGAATCACCAACTCATTATTTTGTTTCCTCGTTGAGTTTATTGGTCCATTTTAGGTATACAGTACAGTTACATTCATCATTGGGATCTTGCACCTTTACATGAGCACCAACTCATTATTGGTATAATGTGGATCCACAGACTGTCCAAGGGCAATTTTAGCTGTAGACTTCAGGTCTTCCAGTTTAACTGGTCTGGGGGACTGAAGGGTTCTGTTTTCTCCTCTATGTTCAGATGTGACTTGGACATCATTCTGGGTTTTGTTTTGTTTGTTTGTTTGGTGATGAAGATTTTGCTTTTCTCATTTCCTGTACGGGTAATGCAGGTCTCCTGGCCTTATGAAGGACAGCCAAATCTTGCATGAATGAGTTCAGAGCCTGCTGATTGTCCATCATGGCGACAACTTGACAATTTGCAATTTAAAAAATGGTTCCAGGCGGGGGGTTTAGCTCAGTGGTTCCGCTGCCTGCCTTGCAGGCACAGGGACCAGAGTTCGATCCCTGGTACCAAAAATAAATAAATAAAATAATAATAATAATAATACATAAATAAATAAACAATGGTTCTCCTGTCAGCATTCTTTATTGCGGACCACTCCACGGGACGCAGAGGACCGGGGCCACAGGGGCAGAAGAGGTGACTTGAACACCACATCCCATGGCCGCCTTATTTATTTATTTAGAGACAGGGTCTATTAGTTCTGGCTGGCCTTGAACTCATGGCGATCCTCCTGCCTCAGTCTCCCAAATGCTGAGATTACAGGTGTGCACCCAGGGCTTTTGCACTGAGCTACACACCCAGCCCTTTTTATTTTTTGCGGAACAAGTTGTCACTAAGTCACTACATTGCTCAGGCGAGGTTCAAACTTGGCAATCCTGCCCCAACCTTCCAAAATGCCAGGACTTCAGGCATATACCATCATACCTGGCTGCAGATTATCTTTTTTCTCATTTTAATTTTATTTTTTATTGGTACATTTTAGATATACATAGATAACATTCACCATAGGGACTTTGTACCTGTACATGATAAATCTTGCTTCTGTTTTCTCCCCATGCCTCTCCTCTTCCTTCAACCACACTTCCCCTCCTTATTTACAAAAGCTCTGATCCCATTTTTTCCCTTCTTTTTTTCTTATTCCTTCCTCCCTTTTTCCCTCCTCCCTCTCTTGTTCCCCTTCTCATTTGAACATTTTCTCCCCATTCACCAACATCTATTATACATTTTGGTCCTTATTTACATTTTCAGTTTCTCATACTAGAGAGACAATGCTATATTTACATGTGTATCCAATTCATTGTATTTAATACTATGGTCTCAAGGCGCATCCATGTAGCTAGAAATGTCTCAAGCATATTCTTCTTTATGGCAGAGTGGTACTCCATTGTATAAAAAAAAAGCCCACATCTTCTTTATCACTCGTTGGTTGATGACCAATTGGGTTATTTCCAAGATTTAGCTATTACAAACTGTGCTGCTATAAACACAAGTGTGCATATATCACTGTGGTAGGATGCTTTTAATTCATTCAGGAAGATACCAAGAAGGGGAAAAGCTGGGTCAAATGGAACCTGTAGTTTCAGTTTTCTGAGAAATCTCCACACTGATTTCCACAGTGGTTGCACCAGTCTGCACTCCCACCAACAGTGGAGAAGGGTTCCTTTTGTTCACAGCCCTGCCAGCATTTGTTATTGGTTGATTCTTGATAACAGTCACTCTTTCTGGAGTAAGGTGAAATCTCAGCATTGTTCTCATCTGCACCTCTCGAATGACCAGTGAATTTGAACATTTTTTCATATGTTTATTTGCTGTTTCTACTTCTTCATGTGAGAAGTATCCATTCATTTCAGATGCCCATTTTTTTTTTTTTTTGGACTGGGTCTTTAAATTTGGGGTCTGATTTTTTTTTCTTTTTTGTACAGGGGATCAAATTTGAGTTCTTGTGCTTGCGAGGCAGACAACAGAACCACTGAGCTAGATCCCCAGCCCTGGGGTCTGATTTTATTGAGTTCTTTACATATTGTAGATATTATTAGTCCCTTGACTGAGGAACAGCTGGCAAAAAGTTTTTCCCAGACTGTGCGGTGTCTCTTCACGGTGCTGATGTGCAAAAGATGGGATCCCAGTTGTTGATTCTTTGTGATAGTTCCCGTGCAATCAAGAAAATATCTCATGTCATAAAATGTCAAGAGTCTGCCTACAACCAATGCCTTCAAGAGTTATACCTATTTTACCTTCCAGCAGATTTAGTGTTTCTGTTTTAATATTTATTAAGTATTTTTATTTTATTTTGGTACTGGGGATCGAACTCAGGACCTTGCATTTGCAAAGCAGGCAGCAGAACCACTGAACTAAATCCCCAGCCCTTGTTTTAATATTTAGATCTTTGATCCATTTTGATTTTTAGTTTAGTGCACTGAAAGATGTCGATCTAGTTTTAATCTCTGGCATGTGGAAAGCCAGTTTCTCCAGCACTGTTTATTAAAGAAGCTATCCTTCTTCCAGGGAAGGTGTTTGGCTCCTTTGTCAAAGACAAGATGGCTGAGCATGTTTGGAGTTGTTTCTGCATCTTCTAATCTGTTCCATTGATCTTTGCGACTTTTTTGGGGGGGCTGTTTGTTTTCCCTTTTTTTGCCAGTACCATGCTGGTTTTATCACAGTACCTTTGTAGTATAATTTCAGGTTAGGGATTGTGATACCCCCTGCCTTGCCTTTGTTGCCCAGAATTGCCTTAGCTATTCTAGGTCTCTTCTGGTTCCAAAAGAATTTTAGGATTTTCTCCTCTAATTATGTGAGATAGGCTGTTGGAATTTTGATTGGGATTGCATTAAATCTGTGTAACAATCTCAGTAGGATGGCCATTTTCACTATATTCATTCCTCCTATCCAAGAACAAGGGACATCTTTTCACTTTCTAATATCCTCTTCAATCTTTTTTCGGAGTCCTGTAGTTTTCCATGTAAATGTCTTTTACTTCCTTCTTCTGATTGAGTCCTAAATATTTCATTTTATTTTGGATACTATGGTGAAAGGTGTGGCTTCCCTAATTTCTCTCTTGATGTTATTTGTTTACAGGAATGCTTTTTTTTTTTTTTTTTTTTTTTTTTTTGTACCAGGGATTGAACTCAGGTCCTTGCGCTTGCAAGGCAGGCCACCGAACCACTGAGCTAAATCCCCGGCCCCTCTGCTGTTGATTTTTGAGTGCTGACTTTGTATCCAACTACTCTACTGAATTTGGTTATTGAATTTAGAAGTCTTTCGGTGGTGTTTTGGGGGTCTTCTAAGAAAAATATGTCATCTGCAAATAATGATAATTTAACTTCTTTTCCTATCCTTATTCTTTTTATCTCTTTCTCTTGTCTAATTGCTCTGGCTGATGTGTCCAGAACTATACTGAATAAGAGTGGTGACAGTGGACATCCTTGTCTGTCACTCGAAGATTCTCTTTTAACAACTCTTATTGTGTGTAAGTTTTCACATCCTGTTGGCTGAAGGTGTAGAATGAAGACTGAAGTCAAACGTTGTCATTTTAAAAGGAGAGAAAAATAAATCTTGCCACACAGGGGACTCTTAAGGACATCCGGGGTCAGTTTCCCCTGCAGTGTATTCTGCCCTAGCACGGGGTGCAGCAGTCTTGCGCTGGAACCTGAGAAAACCAGGAAATGACTCTGCACTGGCCCCTGCCCCAGCTGGCCTTCAGATCTCAAGTTGAACGCACCACCGCTGAGGTAGCCATGGCCAGGCACAGCGCAGGTGGCTCTCAGGGTCTGGGCTGCACCTCCGCTCCCCTTGTAAGTCGGGGAGGGCGGACCCAGTCCCATCTTCTGGGCACAAGTGAGAGGAAAGGGACACTGCTCAGGCTGCACTGTTTGCTGATGGTAAACACCTCCCGATGTGCTTTTCTTCTGCCCAGCGTTGCAAATGGGCACCACGATGGGGAAGTACAGTTGCCCCACCAGGCGCCTAAGGGAACTCAGGGTCCAGGGTGAATCAGGGCAGAGAGTTAGGCACGGACACAAGTTTATTCCGAAAATGTTTCCAAAGTCCGACAGTGATGAGCATTTACTCATTAGGAGAGGGCAGGGGGAGGCAGGGCGGGGAGGCGGGAGGAGCAGAGGGAGAGGGAGAGGGAGAGGTGAGCCTGAACGCTGGTGGGTGCTGAGGGCCTGTTCTCTCCGCTCTCTGGGAAAGCGGCCCAAGCGTTTCTCTGTGTGTGCTGCGGGTTAACGCCGAGGGCTTGGGGTCCAAAAAGGGGAGCTTTGCTTCAGGGGTCCAGCACCCCACCAGCTCTGAGCAAGGAACCCGGGTCCCCAGGCCGTCCGAGGGGCCCCTTTCCCAGAAAGGGGAAAGACCTGTACACTGCAGGGCACCGGGAGCACTATTTTTTAAACTAATAATCCGCTGTACTTTATGGAGGGCGGCTGCTTTTCTTCTGCTGTTTTCTTGAAACGTTGAGAACCGATCTTGGTTTTGCTGCCCGGAGCTGTCCATTCTGTGCTGCTTCTCTTCTTGTTCTGCAGAGTTAAATGATTTTTCAGGGACGCTACTGCTGCGCCTGGGGAAGGACACAACCCCGGCCGGCACCCCACTCTCTGCCCGGGCGAAGGCGGGCTTGCAGAGGCCCTTTCCCTGGGTGTGACAGGGGGACACAAGAGCACCCCACCCCTAGAGTGGCGTGGGATCACCCCAGTCCCTGTAAAGATAAGGCAACAAAATGGAATGGCCTGATAAAAGCAAGGTGCATGTTTCTCATAAAGTCCTACACCCAGAAATTGGCTTCAGAGAGAGAGAGAGAGAGAGAGAGAGAGAGAGAAAGACAAGTACACTTGTTTGAACAAAAGGAGTTTCTCTTCCTTCAAGCCACAATAGCCTATACGCCCTCCTGGAGCAGAGAAGGCGGCTCCTCCTTCCCCCAGCAGAGACGGACTTTTCCAGAGGCGCTGAGAGTGAGAGCCAGGCCAGCAGCCAGCAGGGATCCATCTGCATCCACACCAAGCCCTGGGATGTGCAGGGATTTCCTCTAGGTCCCAACCCACCACCATGTGGCCCTGTCCACGGAAACTCGGTCACCTGGGTCAGCGCATCCTGTGGCCCTTGCTTTCAGTTCTGCTGCTCTTCTTCCTCTTCACCCTACCGTCCTTTATCAAGGAGCCTAGCACAAAGCCCTCCAGGTAAGACTCGGACCCTTTGCAAGTTCCTCAGGTTTCGTTAGAGGAAACTGAAAACAAAAACCAAAAAACAACAACAACAAAAAACCCCAAATGGAGTCCTAGGTGGCCTGGGGAACTCTGAGCCATCCCCGTGTCCATACGGGGGTCTCGGGGGGTCAAGAATGTCATGGAGGACCACTGGGCAGGGACAGCAATGGGCAAGCTTAGGGGAGAGGGAGGCGGTGTTGGGGCCCAAGAGAGGACTCAGGCGCGCAGAACTCCACCTCCAGGTCCACAGAGAGTACAGGTTAAAAAACGAGACTGTGAGTAATCACAGCAGTGCTGGTTCTTGCCCGCCACCATTAGTGTCCCGAAGCGAAAGATGATCCTGCACATTACATTTGCTTCCAAATCGTACCCTAAAAAGTCTGTCAGGAAAACGAGAGACCTCACAGTGAGGCTGCCTTCAAATCTGCATCCCCAGTTCGTTGTCCTCCAGAAAGACCCGCTCAACCATTCTTAGAAAATAAACACATCTCCCGCAGTGGAGACCCTTTTCCTTGTAGACTCAGTTTTTTGAAACTTTTATGTCCTTCACTATTCTTAAAATTTGAAAGTAACAGAAGCTTTCCGAGTATTAAAATAGAAAAGCGAAACCGGAAGTGAGGGTCTCTCCATTATACCCTCGCTGCTGACCACTCTTAATGCTTTGGTGGGCATAGAATTTTATGTTATTATTGTGGCTAATACCTTCTGTGCCCAGCCCTGTTGTAAGTGCTTCATGGACATGAACTTGTTCAATTTCATTATTTTGAGGCTACTGAGACCAGAGCTAAGGGGAATCATTCCAATCCCTGCCAGTACGTCCGAGGGCCAGGATTCAGTCCCAGGATCTGGATCCCCGAGCACCTTCCTTCTATGCTAGACAAGCCTTTAGCCTATGTCTGACAGTGCAGACTGCTCCTCGGGTGAGTTTTTGTCATGGTCTTTTTTTTTTTTTTTGTACCGGGGATTGAACTGGGGACCTTATCCTTGCGAGGCAGGAGGCGGCATTTTTCCTTGGTGGTACATACAGACAGACTCCCTCTCCTCTATTTTTTTTGGTAGCATTGAGGACTGAATCCAGGGGCACTCTACCACTGGGCCATAACCCTACCCATTTTTAGTTTTTTACTTTAAGACAGGATCTCACTAAGTTATCCAGTCTGGCCTCAAACCTGCAATCCTCCTGCCTCTGCCTCCAAATTGCTGGATTACAGCTGTGTGCCTCTGCACCCAGCTTGACTCCCTTCTTCTTTTTTTTTTTTTTTTTTGGTACTGGGGATCGAATGTGGGTCCTTGTGCTTGCGAGGCAGGCGGAGGAACCACTGAGCTAAATCCCCAGCCCTCCCTTCTTTTTTAATATTTGCATAGCATTTTGCAGAATAGACAGAGTGTAATTAACCAGTCCAAGTGACTTATGCCTGAGGATTAGCATGTGGGATGCTCACCTGAGTTGCCACGCATTACCCACATTCTTCTGTGGGCTTTTAGAAGCATTTCTGTGGGTAGCTTGAAGCAGAAACACCAAGCCAACAGATATATTTGCCTTAAACACTAATGGACACCATGGTGTCACCCTCCCAAAAGGCTACGCTAATGAATGTGAAAGATAACTATTTTCTTCTCCTATAACAACACTGGATATGTTAATGTTATTCATTTATCTATTTATTTTTGAGATAAGGTCTCTCTATGTGCTTCAGATTGGCCTTGAACTCACTGTGTAGCCCAGGCTGGCCTTGAACCTTCAGTGATCCTTCTGTCTCAGCCTCCCAGGTGCTGGGATTACAGGTGTGCACCACGACGCCAAGCGTATACATTTCTATTTATCACAGAGGAGGACTTTTTATATAAATAAAATTGCCTGTCTTTCCCTTTATGATCCTTATGCTTTATTCAATGTTTAGGTAGGTTGGCCCTACTCCAAAATTATACAGAGCTTCTTTTATGTTTCCTATTAATGGTTCTATGCTTTTAAAAAACTTAACTGGGTAGAAATTTATTTTGTGTGTGGTGTGAACATGGGTTTATGTTTGTTGGGAGTCTTGCTGTAACTGACAAAAGCTGAGCTTAATCTAGTTTAGTAAGAAGATGGGGCAAGAGAAGCTCAGCTCGCAGAACTCCTAGAGAGAACTTGGGGTGGGAGTAGGCCGTGGAAAAATGACCCCCGGTGCTGGGGTGCCGGCCTCCCATGATGCCATAAGCCCCACAGCTGAGGGCCAGATGTAGGAACACCAATGGTACCTGTTAGTGCTCCAGAGATTCCCGGAGGGTGAAAGTTGTGGCTGTTGTCTGTAGTGTAATCCCCTGGGAGGGACGGAACCACTCCCCAGCCCAGGTGGCCACAGGAGGACAGCTCGGCACTTCCTGTGCTGTGCGCTGAGAGGAAGGGACATCAGAGGCCCAGAACAGCCCAGTCACCTGCTGGGGCAGTGGGAGAAAGGACCCTCATGACAAAGGGGAGCCCCTCCCCAAAGAGCCACATTTACTGACCCACAGAGACCATGACATAGGGGCCGCTGGCACTGGGCACTGCTTCTTAGCTGACTGAACCTCGGGGGTTAAGCAGGAATAGTCCCCCCAAAAATGCCAGCCAAGTGGACACCAAGGTAATAATACCAGAAGGTAACTCGGGGGTGGAACAAACACTGGCCTAAGTGCATGAGGCCCTGCCTTGATCTGCAACATTGTGTGGGGGTGGAGGGCTTTAGCTCAGTGGCGCCGCCACCTGCCTCAAAAGCCGAAGGTGCAGAGTTCGATTCCCAGAACAAAAAAAAAAAAAAAGGAAGGAAAGAGAAAGAACAGAAGGAAGACAGCCAGTTTTCTTAGTGCCTGACCATGATTCTTGCTGCCTTTCCCCATCCTCACCTTTCACGCCTACTCCCAGCAGCTAAGGACAGAGCTGAGAGGGGCAGAAGGGCTCCAACCAGATGGCCCACCGGAGCTGTGCGCTGAGTCTGTGTGCACACGTGTGCTTGTATCATACGTTTATTTATTTACGTATTTATTTATTGGTACTGGGGCTTGAACCCAGGGTCTTTGTGCTGAGCAACATCCCCAGCCCCTTTTTATTCACTTTGAGTCACAGTCTGGCTAAATTGTTAAATTGCCCACGCTGGCCTTGAACTTGCGACCCTCCTGCTTCGGCCTCCCAGAGTGCTGGATTACAGGCGCGCATGCGCCCAGTTTGTAATTTTTCTTAGAATGAGATTTTTTTCTTTTCAGTGCTGAGAGCTGAACAGCAACGCTATGGAATTCTAATTCTAATCATCTCATTGAATTCCAATCATCAAAAGTGACTGTGACATTACGGAGTCTGCCTAGGAGGTTAAGGGATAGGAAAAGGGACACATGTTGATGCTGCCTAAGAAACTGCTTACATAGTAAAGTTCCACGATGACAAAAAGGAGTGTCCAGCAAAATGGCACTGCAGAAGCCAGTTAACGCAGCTGGCAAAAGAATTTACCAAGACAGAGACTCAAAGGAAGGCTGAATATGTACGCCGGACAGCAGCAGGACACACAAAGGCAGCCAGTCTTCGAGCTGGGGCGCAGGAGGAAGGGGCTCCTATTGTGTGAGTGGACGCTGGGGCTGGGGTGACGGGACTGGGGTGACCAGGGGCATGTTCTTTGTAGAAGCAGCTGGTGGGGAGTTTGGATAAAGATGAGAGAACACTACTGGGTTTCTCACTCCGGTTGCAGATTGTTTTGGCCGCTGCTGGCTTCTTGGAACAACTTATTTTGAGACAGAGTAGGTGACTCTGGTCTAAGGCCAGTAGAGGCCAAAAATAGTCTCTCTTTGTGTGTCTGCTAGCCCTGGAGGAGGAGAGAGGGCCACAGAGAGTTCCCGGGAAGGGCTCTGTTGAAGCTGAAGGAGTCCAAGAAAACATAGACTTTGAGAGACAGGAAAGGCGTGGGGTGAAAACTCCAACCTCAAACAAGTCCAGCCAAGCGGCTGAGAACGGGTCTCAGCATGGCGGGCTGACTTGGGGAGAGAGGAGGGCGGTGAAGAGGGCAGGCCATGGGGTCACAGCAGGGGACTTTCGGGCAGAGAGGTGGCCTGGCAAGACTGGTATTTTTAAGATAATCCATCTGTTAGATGTGAACTGGTGAACTGCAAGGTGGAGTGAGCTGGCACTTTGGCCCGACCAGAAGAGCAACCAAAGGCAGGGGACAGAAGGATTTTCCAGGCAAATTATCCCAACACAAGGTGAGGAAGCTCTGGGGGTGAGAGGAAGCAGAAAATGAGGGTGTATTTTGAGTAGCTACTTGAGAGGCTGAGGCAAGAGGATCACAAACTCAGGCCAGCCTAGGTGGCTTACT